TTCCTTTTGATTTTTACAACAGAACATCAGTACAGCATGTATTTAGAACATGTGATGACAGCATAATGCGCCTACTTAAGATTACTTCCAGGGACATATCTAAGAACTACACAGATGAGTGAACTAAGGAAAATATCCAACTGGTGTCTGCATATAAATTTGTAAAACTGAAATTAGCATTTAAATGTTGTAGTTGCTATTTATACACTGTTTAGTCATCAAAGAACATATAAACATTTACAGTCCTAAAGTGCCCAGAAAACCTGTAGGTATGTAGTTATCACTTTCCACACGGCTACTTTCTTCTGCTGCTACACTTCGATTGCATTGTTTCTTCGTGTTTAAACTATTAACTCTATGTTTTCTAAGTGTTTTCTTCCCCAGAAGAAGCTTCAATGGCATCCTGCTAAGCTGTAAAAGTCTTCTGAAGAGGATCAGTAACATTTTTACTTTTTTTAATACAGAAAGTGCTACCACTGGTTCATCTGTGTTTTTTTATTTGTGTGTGTGTGTGTGTGTGTGTGTGTGTGTGTGTGTGTGTGTGTGTGTGTGTGTGTGTGTGTGTGTGTGTGTGTGCTCTGTCTTCTCAAACCCTAGTCAGTCCTGGCAGATGACCGCTCATACTGAGCCAGGTTCTGTTTTAGCTCTCTTCCAATTAAAGGGGAGTTTTCCTCTCCACTGTCACTACATGCTTGCTTAGTATGAGGATTGCTGTTAAGTCTGTGACACAAGTATAAGTCACTCCATGCAATCTGCTGGGCTTCTTTTGTAAAACATCCAGGTCAGCGCATGTCGTCACGGAGCGCACGCGGGGTGTGGGGTGGTGGTGCGTTCAAGAGTTGGGGTTGCTAAGCTGTTGCTTGGCCCAATCTTGGGGTTGCTTTAGCAACCCCTAGCTACCGCCTGGCGCCGCCCATGTGGGCTACCTCGGTCCCTGGAGCTCTCCTTAGCTTCTTGGGTTAGCTAAGTAGCTATATTGATCCGTTTGTTCCAACCGCAACAGCCCCACCCTAAGCTCCACCTCTTATCCCATTTTTGGATTGTCTGGGCATGCCGGGACGTGTGATGCAGTCAAATGACGATGATGGGAACCTCCCATTTGGGAACAAAACCTTATAATTTGAGCCTATGGACATGAATTGTCCAGTATATATGTTGGTGTTTTTCTCTTGTGCATGTGCAGGAAGTGAAAATGAACCCAGAAACAAGCACATATTAAGAAGACCACGCGTGAAAGCTTTACCAGAACGATTGACAGTTATGCAAACCAATGGTTCAGATGGTACACCTGGAAGAAAAAGATCCTCCGCTACACCCTAAAGTAAATACCTTGATAATACCAATTGATTTTGTTTTTTGTTTTGGATACCATTATTAGTCCTTCTTCCACTGCAAGTTGGAGAAGAAAAAATAGACATCTTGGCTATATTAACACTTTATTCTTTTTACACTGTCAGAGACCCAACTGACCAACAGAAAACATCAATAAATTAAGGGTTGGGATTAGAGTTCGTACCAGAGTTTTAAAACTACGATCATCTTATGTTCAGAAATGATTATGTTATGATTATTTTGGTCAGATCTTGAACCTTTTGGATCTTTTGTAATATTACACAATTCTGTATGATCATTTAGCAGACTGCATATGTGATGTGAAAGACTCTCAGCTAAATCCCATTTCATTTTGATTTTGGTCAAATTAATTGCAATTGTTATTGCTTTACACAACTAGAACACATCACCCATCCATAGACCAATTTAAGTTCCCCTCTTGTAGTTAATTATTCATTCACATATTAACTTAACAACGTGCGTGTTTGCCGCATTTTCAGGACAGATGCATTCACACAGTCCTGATCTTGACCTGCCTTTCAGCTGAACTCTGGAAGAGAACTTGTGCTGAAACTCAGATCTCTCTTCCTTAGAGGCAATATATGTATTTGTTTCAGGTTATTGTGTTCCCTCCTTGTATCCTGTGTAAATCCAGTCAACCTCCAGTAAACCTTTTAAATGAAAGACAGGGTGCTATCGTGAGGTTACGGGGATTTATTGGGATCCAGGAACATTGCCCTGCAAAATTGATCTCAATATATTATAAAGGAATCTTGCTGACTAGCTGAAATGTGTGTGTGTGTGTGTGTGTGTGTGTGTGTGTGTGTGTGTGTGTGTGTGTGTGTGTGTGTGTGTGTGTGTGTGCGCGCGCGTTTCATATGCATTTGTTATTAAAAAAACCCTGAATGTCAGATTTTGAGTGAACGCTGACTGAGATGTGTTGATGCCAGTCTTATGCTACAACTGCAGCTTTGGTGAGAGAGAAAATGCGTAAAGTTCATGCAGTTTAAACTTTTATTGGAGGTGACAGATAAATTACCAACAGTTTGACTCGTTTGCCGACTCTCAGAAATGTTTACATTGAGCTGCAGAAGGAAATGAAACCTGAAAAGCTCCCGCAGGCAGTTTTGATTCCAACCCATGGATCTTGATGTGTCTCCTGTTCAATTAGGATGAATCCCTGTCAGAAGACAGTGCTGTATGCTTCATCACAACGCTGCTATGCTACAGGCAGTCTGTCTTTGTGTGAAACCTTTCAGCCCCAGTGGCTGTAGTAAAAGCATATATCCTGTAAAGTCGTGCAACAGGTGATGTAAGGCAGTAAATGCACATGCAAGTTCAGACAGGTAGTGTTTACGCTCAGTCATGGTGTTAGTACCGGTATGTGTTTGGTCTTGTGGTTAAACGCTGGTATGTCTGAGACAGTTGTGTGTATTCTGCATGCGGAGGCAGAATGTGCTGATACAGCTCTCGCAGTGGGAGTTGATGAAGCCAGCCCTGACCTGAAGTGACTGCCGGGGCTAAGAGAAGAGATTTGCTGCCACATGGGCGTCAGCGCGGCCTCAGGGTTGAGCTGCTGACAGACCAGATCCAGACAATTACTGCCGCCAAACTTGAGCAAAAGCTAAAACAACAAAAATGTAATTGCTAAATCAACGGTGATGGTGTTTATCATGGGTTGTCCAATTACTTTCAAGAGATGGCCTGTTGTTGTTGCTAATAAACATCCTGTGTTTAAACTTTACAAATCTGTGTTTGAAAACCTTTTGGTGATGTTTTTTTGCAATCACAGAGCTTTGATTTTAAAACTTCTTAGCAATACAGTATATTGTAAAGTAATTTGCCTTTTTAAACAACTGGTGGGGACTCGTCCATAGGGGTGCTTGGTTGCCATCCTCCCTATGAAAGCAAGTAAAAACCATTTATGCATATATTTTCTTTAAATGTGTCACTCTTACCTTATTGTGTGTTCCCACATGAAATCTGAATTATTTACACATCATTTTGACCAGCGGTCTCTCATTTAACAGGGAATTTTCCCCAACAGACTCACTTCTGGGGTGCTGGGACAAGTGCCCCTGAATTGCAGCTGAACAGCCAATCCCATTTGGTCGCTAGGGAGAACTGAAGAACTTTTGGCCAGTCAGAATCACTAAATGTAATGTCTCTGGGGCGCCAGCCGATAGCACCCCCACAGGAAATATCTAGCTAGCATGCTTGAAGGTGCTAAATCTCCTTTCCTTTCTCTCACTCGCTCATTCACACAGACTCACTGTTAGTTTTTACAAATTGAGCTGAAATCATACCTGTAGCTGTTGGGGTAAAGTACGTTTATTTCTTCTGATTTTATGTGATTATAATGTGTAAAACAGGAAATCTAATTCCATTTGGAGGATTCAGGATCCCGCCCCACCCCGCCTCCCTGTCGGAGTCTGATGTTTTGTAACTGTGATGTTCGTGCTTCCATGTTGAGGAGTTTTTTTGTATAATAGAGCTACTCCCTGCAGGGACTAACTCTGCTATGCCTTTTTTTTTTTTTTTTTTTACCTTACCCCAATTATCCTCATGTAACGCCCTTTTCATCTAATGAAATGAGCGCCGTTCTGGCTGCTCTCGTGATTGCCTGTACCTGTTTTTGTCTACATGTGTGTGTGTTTAACCTTGGTCAGGTTGTGTTTGCAGAGTCAAGTTCCTATGCTCTGGGTCACTGGAGCGCTGGCAATAAAGCTTATTCTGATTCTGATTTCTTAATCATGTTAGTGCCACCTACTGGTGGAATCGAGTATTGAGGTGAGCATGTTTTGGGTAGATGGCGAATAAGGACAAAAAGGAACTGCAGTTGCTCTTAAAGGCACATTAGGCACATAGACTTGTATCTTTAAGTGAGCAATACAATAGTGTAATTTATTTGTAAATGTGATAGTTGACTAGCTGTCAAGCTGCTGATTTGGAACAGGAAAATAAAGGATTGTTTTGGAGCTTTTGTCATTTTAAACCAGCAAATTTTAATACTAAAAATGGACTAATAAGCCAAAATTTCACCAGCGGCCATTGTAAACAATCCTATTTTTGTCAAATGAATCAATTACAACACAACAAGATGAACTAACTTTTTGCTTCTTCGTAGAAAATAAAAAGCCTTTTATCAAAATGTGTTGGCTTAGAAATTACCATTAACTCTTTAGATTATTGCTGCAAGTTAGCATCAATCCCCTTTTGGTAACAAAGCAGCCAGATGTAGTATCAGTATTAGTACTTTATCAAACACCTGCCATATCCGATTACATGACTTCTGCCATCTAGTTGCATGGTCAATTTTATTTTTTTATTACTATTATATTATTATAAAATTAAACAATAAAACACAGTTTATTGTGTAGCTATAAAGACATTAAAACTGAAATTATTCCGTTTTAAAACCAAACGTTGTAAAAATGTATTATTGTTTCATATTTCTGGATTTAAAGGGTTGTTTTTCTTTTCATTTCACAGACACACTGTTGTGCCACAGATGTCCTACCAAGCACATCATATTTCCCACCTTAAATGTGACAGAATGAAAGTTTACAGAAGAGCAAAGCATGAATTAAACAAGTGTTTGAAACCAACTGACTGCAGCATGAAGGAAGTGGTTGGGCGTTTGGGAGGCAGGGCTAATTACAGATGCAGCTGAACTTCTCTTCCTGTGAGGGCGGACGTCTGCGCTGCTTATAAAGCTCTGAGGAGAGCAAGCAGACTTTGCGGAAACCTGGCAGAGCAGCAGTTCTACCTCTCCACACCCAGTAACTGTCTCCTTTCTTCACCAGGTAATGAAATGTGTTTTTATCTTGTAACACCCAGCGGCACATTGGCAACTATTTCCTACAAGTCTGGTCTTAAATTATTATGGAGGACACATAAAGCAACAGAAGAAACAGTTTTAAAGAGACTTGATAGCAGATGTTTTAAGCTGCATTTAAGCAAAAACATTATAATTAACATTCAATTTGACTTTGATTTTTCCTGGTACAGTTCCTTGCTTGATGCTTGATTTTGCAGATAATCTGTGTTATTGGGTGTGGCATGGCTGCAGTACTTTCTTTTTCCCATTGAGGCGTACTCGCTGAGCAACAGCCCTAAATATTTTGATGAAGTCTAGTTGTGTGTCCTGACTCATTGTTTTACCACATGTAATAATACAGTTGGGTGTGTGTAACAAAGCAGACACACCCTTTGAACACACACATCAAACAACATTTAGCAGCTCAGTAAATATGAGTCCTGAATTACAGGTTCAACTAGAGAGATTCAACAGAGGAGTAATCATGTGTTCCTGCAAAACTCAAAAGTCTTCTAGTTCATTCAGAGTTGTTCGTGTGCATTTTTTATTGTTGCTTTATCTGCAGGATTTTTTTAATTGATATTAATGATAAGCACTGAAACACCCATTATACTATCCTGTCTGTGATTATCTAATGATTGCCTCAGTTATAATGCCCCATGGCTTTGGATGAAAAAAGTAAACATGCAAAAAAATGCAGTTTCATAAAACACGTGCTTAGTTTTCTTTTTGTGCACGTAGGCATTTGCAATAAAACACTCTAAAGCAGGGGTGTCAAATATGCGGCCCACGGGCCGGATCCGGCCCGCAAGCGGGTTAAATCCGGCCTGCGAGATGGTTGTGTAAACTTTATTTTCATACTTTACAATGTAGAGTGAAAATAAACGTATCTTTGTGAGCAAGTTTTCTCTGTAATGAGTATAAATAAAACAAAGCTGCGCTCAAGACTCACACAAGAACTTGAATCACATCCTGAAGTTGGCCGCCTCTCAGGATGTGACTTATGATGTTGATGTGCTGGTGAAAGCTAAAATATGTAAAGTAAAATGAGTCAAATATACTTTAAGTGTTGCATGAAACTGATCTTGCCATGTGATCTGTGAGCTCTTTGAATCACTAAGGAATGTTTTTTTATTTATTGATTTTTTTATTTTTTTCAAATTTTCAAGTACACTTCAGGTGTTGTACTTGTTCTACACTGTCCTCAGGCTCCAGCCTTGTTTCATATTGATTGTATTAAAACAAAGAAAACAATCTGAAGTTTTTATTTTTTTAATTTACCGGTCCGGCCCACTTGGGACTAGATTTCCCTCAATGTGGCCCCTGAGCTAAAATGAGTTTGACACCCCTGCTCTAAAGCAAGTTTTAGATGGCATTGGTGGGATTTTGGTGAAACACATCATAGAAACGCCTACTGACTAAAGTAGCATTTTGACATATTTTATGGGTTTCACAAAATTATTGTTTCAGTTTTATAATTTCTGAAATACATTTCAGAAGTTTGGAATTTTTTTAAGCTTCAAAAGTTAATCCCGCCTGTTTGGAGGCAGAAACTGTGCAGCTCTGTGTCTCCAGGATATTTTTGATTGGACTTTCTGTGATGTGAAATGTATCACCAAAGCTGCATCTCTTCTCAGGCCCTAAGCACCATGGCTCACAAAGAGTTTCAGACTGCCGGGAAGAAGCCTGGCCTGCAGGTATGGCGCATAGAGCAAATGGATTTGAAACCCGTTCCACCTGAGCTCTATGGAGACTTTTACGTCGGAGATGCGTACATCGTGCTCTTCACCACCCCAGCTCCTTCCTACAACGTGCACTCATGGATCGGTGAAACTCATTCATTCAGAGTGTTTGCTTATGGTGTCAAATCCTCGTTTATTTAAGTGGGACTCTTTTTTTTTTCATTTCCTTCATTGTTTTGCAGGAGATGAAGCCTCCAAAGATGAGTGTGGAGCTGCTGCCATTCTGACAACTCAGCTGGATGACCACCTGCGTGGAGCTGCGGTGCAGTTCAATGAGTTCCAGAACCTGGAGTCCGTCACTTTTCTTGGTTACTTCAAGTCTGGCATCAAGTACAAGGTCAATTCAGTTTGAATGTAAAACACCAGTTTTCATAATTATACGTTATTTATTTATTTATTTATTTTTTATTAAAGAAACTATTCAAAAGAGAAGCTGAATCTTTAGCTCCTATGGAAGCTGTCTGGTCTCAGATTTTCCATGGAAAGTTTCTATGGAGAGTTTGAACCAGCAAAGAAGGCAAACGGAGACACGCTCGAGTCACTCCCAAAACACCAAATCGCTGCTGATGTCATGAGCAGGGGCGGCGTTAGGCCCGGCTACTTGGGCTGAAGCCCCGGATGTTTCATGAAAAGCCCCGGATCTAAATCGCGGAAGTAACATGCAGTACCAAAGTCCAACAGAGAGGGCGCAGCTGGCAGTAGTTTGTATACAGCCTGCCTGAGCCTCCACCACTGAAGAAGAAGCCCTTCAGCAGCCGGCTTCTTCTACAGTCTCTGCCTGAGACGCATGAGTGAAGATGGACATAAGGACGTTTTTTAGACCAAAAGTACAACGACAGAACCCCAGCTTTGATGAGACTGGTGTTGACTCAGGTTTGTGAGTCTTATTTGAAAATATTTGTTGTGCTGCTGGTTTGCCTAAAGTTAGCTTACTATCAGGTAAAGTTGTTGGAGAAAGAAAGGGAATATTTACTATCATCTCACACTAAACACTAACAGGAACAATACTCTGCCCTGAAAATGCGTAATATGTAGCTTCAGATGAATAATTATGTGGTACAAGACAAATATGTATGATGTTGACTAGTGCGTGTCACGTGTGTGTGTGCGCGCGCGTGTGTGTTAAGCCCCGGATCTTCTTCAGTCCTAAATCCGCCCCTGGTCATGACCTGGCAGAGCTCACGCACACATCATTTAGCTTGCTTCAATTTCTTTTAAACTCCTTTTTACACCCGCCGAATACGTGGGAGTAAAATGTTGAAGTTTTGAAAACAACTCTTTTCAGAACCTGCTGCTCAGGGCTATGATTCATCACATTCCACTAGATTCACCAGCAGCACATCCATGCAGGCAGTCTCCTGTTTCACCCCACCCAAAGGTGTTAAAAACGTAATTAGTGAAGGAAATAACCAACAATTATTTTGTCATGCTCATCGGAACCAGTTTGAGAAATCACCTCCAAGCGTGTGAATCCGGAGTTTTTACTGAAAAATGCTTTTCATTCATTAAAAGGATTTGCATGATCTTTTCCTGTATGTTGTAGAAAATAGACGCACTGAAAATTATTACGAAGGCACTTTATCACACGGGCACTGCCTTCCTGGAACTGAACTGTTTTGCCGTTAAGTCTAGTCGGGTCCGAGCGACAGTAAACAGAAAGAGGAAACAGAAATCATCTTTCCGACGGTCTGAGAGTTAATGGCGTAAGCTTTTCTTCACTTTAGTTGTTTGTGCAACAAACAGGTAGGGAGGAGATTTGAAGAGTATTTTGTCAACTGCTGGTTTGTTTCCAAACTTAAAGAGCAAGTCACCCCCAAATCAACTATTTTTTTCTGATAAACTATATAAATGCGTGTCTAATCGTGCTGCAGACGCTTGTAGTCAATAGTTTTGCACTTTAGTGCATTTTAGTTAAAATTTTAATTTTCCGCCTGAAACTGTCAGTGTTGTGCCGTTGTCAGGTAAAAACTCTTCACTGCATTTGAATTTAAATCTGCCACCGCTATTGGCTAAGAGGTATGCTATGATGTGAACTGGTACATTATGATGTCACAATGTCGTGAGTGTGTGTATTTGTTAGTGGCTCCACCCTCTCGGTCTGCTAGGCAACAGCATTTGTTGCATTTTTCAAACATGAAGTGGGAGTGAAGTACGCTTCTTGTAAGGGGTGAACTTGCTCTTTAAGATAAAAAAAAGTTTAAAAAAAGATAAAGTTGTTAGTGACAGAGCTGTTAAAATGTAACGTTTTTGCTTCTTGCCATTTAAAATGTCAACATCTGATAAAAACAACACATGAAGCACCTCCATGTTGTATTTTTAAACTAAATGCTTTTCCATGACGAAATCCTTTTTGACAGCAAGGAGGAGCTGCTTCAGGCTTCAAGCATGTCGTTACCAATGATACGGATATAAAGCGCCTGCTGCACGTCAAAGGTCGTCGTTCGATCAAAGCCACGGAGGTGAACCTGTCCTGGAGCAGCTTCAACAAGGGAGACTGCTTCATCATTGACCTGGGGAAGGTGAGCTAGAAACAAACACGAGATCGTGACGGATTTACTGTTGCAGAGTTTCATCATAGCTAATGCTTTTCTTCTTCTGCTCTGCTCTGTGAAACAAAAGGACATCTACCACTGGTCTGGCAGTGACAGCAACCGCTACGAGCGCCTCAAAACCACTCAGATGGCCAACGATATCCGTGACAACGAGCGTAAGGGGCGCGCTAAAGTACACATGATTGAAGAGGGTTCTGAACCTGATGATGTCATTAAGGTGAGCTTTCACCTTTGCTGAAAAGATCCAACAGTGCTTGTTACAAGGATTTAGTTGCTTTTGTTTAAGATTCTTAAACAAACAAACAAACATAAAAATCAAATTGTGTTTATTCATAGGAACTTGGCCCAAAGCCAGAGCTCCCAGCAGGAGAACCTGATGTACCAACAGAAAGGGCTGCAAAGAGCAAAGCATCTCTGTACTTGGTAAATATACACAGCAACATCCAAAAGCCTTAAGCCATTTGTTAGTGTGCATCTACTTTTTTGTAAAAAATGTTTTGCAAGGCAAAAACATTTGATTCTCAACTCTTTTTGCTCTGACACTTTCAACATGATGCGTTCACTGTCTCAGGAAAGGTCAGATAAATAGCCAAACATGCTGAAACATCAGCAGTCTTATATTCATAATGCAAACCCAAATGATTCCATAATGTAGAGCTTTACTCTGCGTGTTAAGCAACAGAACGAAAGGTAATCATCACATAGCAAATGTAGTGGCTGTAAATAAGAAAAACACGAATATTATTACTTTTTTTCCATGTTTACCACAAAGTAGTACTTTCTGTTTCAGTCCCAGAGACTATTGGCCTGCCTTCAACACCCAAAAACTTTAAAATGATCCTTTGGTCTTTTATGTTTTAAAACCGTGAGGCCACATTGTGCTCCAACTGCTGGACAACTGAGACCTATCCAAACAACAGCTGAATGAATCTAATCCACCCAAATAAAATATCAGTAAAATTTGTAGTAAAGGTTAAAGAGTCCATGCAAGGAAGTTGTTTTTGTTTAAGTGATGACTCGTGAAGTCTGAATATTGAAAAACAAAACTCACTCCTGATCAAAATTCCAAGCCTGGAAAGCCATCCTATTTTATTTAAATATAGAATCTGGCCACAAACCTTACCCCGGCTTTCCACGGGAGCCGTCAGCAGCACGTCATAGCTGCTGATAGGAACCGCTGTGGTCAGCAGAACCTTTTCCACTGGAGCCATCAGCAGCGCGAGCCGGCCACGTCTCAGGAGCAGCATGTCGCGGCCTTTACGCGCCGGTTCTATTTTCTACGCGCGACGCCTCTGAAACGGGTCAAGTTCGACATTTTTGGGGAAGGAAAGACAGGAAATCGGACGCGGAAATGAAGAGAAGCTCCGGAGATTTTCAGAATAAAGAACGTACTGCCTTCCGGTCGCTTTACTTTAAAAAAGGTTACTAACTGTGCGTCCCCGTGAGAAGTTATCACCTAGCTAGCGGTCTCCTTTGTTTTTCAGGTCCGTATTGGCGATTATAAAACGGACAGAACATAAAACACAAACCTTTTGGAGCCATGTTGTAATTTTCTCCTGCTTGTTGTTGTGTTTACTGACGAAGTCACTCGTGTGACTTCGTGCTCGGTCGGTGACAGCTGCTCCCCTGCTGCTTCGCGTCTCGTGGGAAGGGCCAAGCAGCAGCTTACGCGAGCAAGACGTGCTGCTGCAGTAACGTGCTGCTGACGGCTCCCGTGGAAACCCGGGGTTAGACAGAGCTTGGTCTATTGTCAGTCGTGGGGCGGGACCTATGGTTGTCTTTCGAACTTTCTCTGCGTGCTATTGGACAGCGAGCAATGGGATGTGCTCACCGCTAGGGATGTCAGTCAGTCAAGAAGATACAAACACATCCTTTCTATAAATAAAGGACCTAAGCGCCTCTATCTGCTCATGACTCAAAGAAAAGCCTAAATCGAAACGGTCCACAGTTGATGTCAAAACCGTTTAAAAAGGAGATGACTCCATCTTTGTTTTGCTCAGTCGCAGTAATGTCCCACCCAGCAAACTGACCCATTACTGGTCTGGGCTGCTGAGGTTCCAGTAAAGCATAGCCTGCAGAGCAGACTAATTTTGCTTCTGTCTGTCTGTCATCTGGACCGATAAATGCTACTGTGTCTATGTTTTAGCTGACAAACTGAAAGGTTTTAATCGCCTGTGTATTCTTTAGATTTCTGATGCTGCAGGTTCCATGAAGACCTCCCTGGTGGCTGAAAAGTCTCCCTTCAAACAAGACCTGCTCTCCCAGAGTGAATGCTACATCTTGGACAACGGATCGGATCAAAACATTTTCGTCTGGAAAGGTATTCAGGGTTTCACATCGGTTATTTTTCTAGCATTTATTCGTTTTTAGAGATACTGTTCCTGAGAACAAAAGCTTTTACCAAAGTTTGCCACTGCTGACCTCCGATCCACACCTCATGCCGCAGGACGAGACGCGAACGCAAACGAGCGCAAAGCAGCGCTGTCAGCAGCAAACAGTTTCATCAAAGACATGAATTACTCCTCAAAAACCAAGGTAACGCAGATGGACCGCCGACTGACAAATATAATATCGTGATCATGCAACATTTTTTTCAATAAACGTACTAATTCCTCTGTGCATTTGTGTCAAGTACAGGTGCAGGTTATTCCTGCTGGAGCTGAAACCACTATGTTTAAGCAGTTCTTCTTCAAATGGTTGGAGGGACAGTCCTCAGGCCAGACTTACACCGTGGGTCACATCGCTAAGGTGGAGCAGATTCCCTTTGATCCCTCCAAGCTCCACAGCAATAGTGCTATGGCTGCCCAGCACAGCATGGTGGATGACGGCTCTGGAAAGGTCAAGGTAAGGTCATAAATCAAATCAAATCACCTTTATTGTCACGTCACATGTGCAAGTACACTAGTACAGTACGTGCGAGTGAAATTCTTGTGTGCGAGCTTCACAGCAACAAAATCGTGCACAGCAACAAAAATAAAAAGACAAGATATATAATATACGGAAGATGGTATGTACAAACAGTGGCATTAATATACTGTGTGGAGTGTGTAATGTTGAAGTTCCAGTAGTGAGGGTGAGGTGTCTATGTAGTGTTCAGCAGTCTGATGGCTTGATGAAAAAAGCTGTCTCTCAGTCTGCTGGTTCTGGACCGGATGCTGCAGAACCTCCTTCCTGATGGAAGTAGTCTGAACAGTTTATGGCTGGGGTGAGTTGAGTCCTTGATGATCCTCCCCGCTTTCCTCAGGCATCGCTTCCTGTAGATGTCTTGGAAGGAGGGAAGCTCACCTCCAATAATCCTTTCTGCACACCGCACTACTCTCTGGAGAGCTTTGCGGTTGTAAGCGGTGCTGTTGCCATACCAGGTGGTGATGCATCCGGTGAGGATACTCTCAATGGCACAGCGATAGAAGGTCCTGAGGATGCGGCGGCTCATGCCGTGTGCCTTCTTCACTGTATTTTCCGTGTGCACTGACCACGTGAGATCCTCGGCCAGATGAACACCAAGGAAACGGAAGCTGCTCACTATCTCCACCGCGTCGCCTTTGATGGTGATGGGGGTGTATACTCCTCTGCACCTCCGAAAGTCCACTATTAACTCCTTTGTCTTCGCGACATTGAGGATGAGATGGTTGTCTTGGCACCAGTGGGTCAGGGCGCTGTTCTCCTCCCTGTAGGCCGCCTCATCATCGTTGGTGATGAGACCCACCACCGTGGTGTCGTCCGCAAACTTCACAATGATGTCGGAGTTTCTAGTGGCCGTGCAGTCGTAGGTGTAGAGTGAGTACAGGAGTGGGCTCAGTGCACACCCCTGTGGAGCACCAGTGTTCTTGGCAGTAACTTGGCAGTAATCATGCTGTTTTTCTTCAATCAAACGTGTGACAGTTGTGGATATCCACAGATCTGGCGTGTGGAAGGAGGAGACAAAGCACCTGTGGACCCATCCAGCTATGGACAGTTCTATGGTGGTGACTGCTACCTGGTGCTTTACACGTATAATGATGGAGGCAGACAGAAGCACATCATTTACACCTGGTAGGTACAACTTTCTCAGTATTCTAAGAAGGAACAAGCTCAGGAATGTGCTCCCTACTAATACTATAAAGTAATAAGTCACAGATGCACAACGACATTCAAAAAAATTCCTAGACTCTTCACACTTTGAAATATACTTCCCAAAGTCTGAACACATCATTTAATACTGAACACAATGTGGCTGTCCCTGCAGGCAGGGCAAGAAGTGTTCTCAGGATGAGCTGACGGCTTCTGCTTTTCTCACCGTCCAACTGGACGATTCCATGGGAGGGCTACCGACTCAGGTAAGAAGTTACACGTGAGGCTTTTTTACAAAACCAGATGGTACCACAAGAAAATAAAACGTTACACAACATACGCTTTTTATTGGGATAAAAATTATTTCACATTTCAGCTTTATTTGTTTCAAGCTGACAGAAGTCACCAAGAAGGTTTTTGGAGCTAAATCCTCATTAGAATTAATGCTGACACATGAATTACAGAGCAGAACTAACTAGAAAATGATTTATTCACCACCCACCAGATGTTCTTGAACTTTAGAAAATGGATATTTTGTTGAGGAGCACGTCAGCTGAGAAAACATACAAATCTAGATAAATATGTAAACAATAACGGAGTCCTAGGCTTTTCTGTATTATTATTATTAATAATAATAATAATAATAATAATAATAATAATAACAATAACAATAACAATAACAACAACAACAACAACAATAATAATAATAATAATAATAATAATAATAATAATAATAATAATAATAATAATAATGGATTACATTTAATCATCCCTTTATTCATACTCTCACACACTCTCACATTCACACACTGCTGGTGACGGTAAACTGCTTCATAGCCACAGCCGTCCTGGGGACGTCTGACAGAGGCGAGGCTGCAGTTTTGTGCTGTCAGCTCTTCTCATCACCACCAACACAAGTGTCTTGCCCAAGGAAACAACAGCAGGGATCCCGGAGGGAGCTGGGATTGATCCCGCAACCTCTGATCGGAGCTACTGCTGCCTGTATTTGCTACAAAGGCCCATACTCACACCCCAAACGTGACTTCTAACCCCCTCAGGATGGACGAAGCTTAGTTCTTACAAGTAATTGTTGTTGATGAAGACCAGGTTAACTTTGAATAGCTTGTTCTTTATATCTCCTTTATGTCTTTAGTTAGCAGCCTAGCCATAAAATAGTATTTCTTGTTGGTGAGAGAAGTCCGAGCCTTGCAGTATATTGCGGTGGTGGCCACACCCACACACACACACACTGAAACTGAGCATGTTTTTCTGAAATATTCCAGTCATTTGATTTATCTCATTACATTTAGCCATTATGTTGTGCTAGTCAGTTATGATCAGAATTTAAATTGGCCTTAGAAGAGGTAAGTACACAGGAGAGCTTGGTGGGAAAGAGGGACCCCTAAACTTGAGTTACTCCATCCTCAACAGATGAACCAATGGTGAATATTCAGAGTCTAAAATAAACACATGTCTAAAAATATGAAAGTATTGTTATGTGTCCTCAGGTCCGGGTCACCCAGGGTCAAGAGCCCCCGCATCTCGTGAGCTTGTTTAAGGACAAGCCTATGGTCATCTACTTGGGAGGGACGTCCCGTAAGGGTGGCGAAAGCAAAGCCGGCAGCACGCGGCTCTTCCACATCCGCCAGAGCTCCACGAAAGCCACGCGAGCTGTGGAGGTCAGCTTTGTTTATACAGTCAGTATGACGGGATGCAGATTTAGAACACAGTGGACGCCATTCCTGTCTGTCTCACAGGTGGAGGCCACGGCTTCGTCTCTGAACACCAACGACGTGTTTGTGCTGAAGTCGTCCAACTCCCTGTTCGTGTGGAAAGGAAAAGGAGCAAATCCAGATGAGCTGCACGCAGCTAAGTATGTCGCCACCCTGCTGGGAGGAACTGCCACCGATGTGGATGAGACAAAAGAGCCTGGTGAGCTTCTCAAGTACAGATTAAATCACGTTGTGATCTTTAGAGTAAACCCGTTAACTCTGTAAAACATCTTTGTTCCCAGATGGTTTCTGGTCAGCACTCGGTGGGAAGAAAGACTACCAGACCTCCAAGACCCTTCAGAAGATGGTCAAACCTCCACGTCTATTTGGCTGTTCAAACAAGTCTGGAAGGCTCACAGTGAGTTTTCAGGTTTACTGAACTTATAAACGGTGACGCCGCTGATATTTGGCGGGGAACCGAAGAATAAAACATTTATGGATTTTAATGTGATTCTAAATATTTAGGTGGAGGAGGTGCCCGGTGAATTTACACAGCTGGATCTGGCAACTGATGACATCATGCTTCTGGACATTTCTGATCAGGTTTGGCATGCATGACGGGGTGGGCAGTGAAGGCGTAAATGCTCCTTTACTTAAATGTGTCAGATGAGACCATTTCATAGTTAAATGCGTTTTTTTACAACAGTGACTGATATTCTTAACCCTCCCACTGTCCTCATGGGTGACCCCGCCAGGAAAGTCGACCAATGAGCAGAGTTGATGGTTTATCCCTTGAGGTCCATGTGGCAGAGGTGAGGTAGGGATCACTCCTCACCCCTGCCACATGGACCTCGAGGCACCTCTGCCTAGGGATGGGTACCTTTGACATTTGAATCGATCCGGTACTAACTCCCGGTACCTACGAATCGATACCGGTACTTAACGGTACCAATTTTCGATACTTTTGAGTGTTTATTATTTTAATTCTCTTTTATAATTAAATATATATTTTTCTCAATACATAACCATAATTGATAAATATCACGATAAATAACATACAACTGTTTGTATTGTAACATCGTCCTTGTAGTTTTATAAGCTGATGATTAAACTGAAGCAAACATCTTTACTGTGAACTAAATTTTGTGTGTATCTTCATTCCTTTTGCCGTCTTTTTTCATTTGATTTTTCCTACTGGAAAGTTAGAATTTCCGAGGAGAAAGCGAACGCACCATTAGCTGATAACAACGGTGGCAATGGAAGCTAACATATCAAGCTAACATTATCTTTAACAGTTTATTTAGCTGCTGGAGCAGATTAAAATGATGATGCCTCACACTTAGATCGTTGTCACTGGTTTCATCTTCACCCAATCACCCGTCGCATTTAGTAAAGTGAAGCCAAACTTTAGTGCGCATTCATGTTCTTCTAGTCGGAAATTCGGAGTTCCGAGGAGAAAGCGAACGCACCATTAGCGAAACGGAAGCTAACAAATCAAGCAAGCGTTATCTTAAACATTTTATTTACCTACCGGAACAGATTAAGATGATGATGTCTCACTTAGATCGTTGTTGCTGGTTTCATCATCACCGTGGAAATAGAAGTGAGCCACATCACAGCTGAGCTTGCAGGGTTTGGAGTCCACATTTAGTGAAGTGGACCCAAGCTTTAGCGTGCGTTCTTTCTACCGTGCTGCTCTGTTTACAACTGGCTCGCAGCGACCGACGACATAACGCTCTTGTGCATGCGCAGCTGTCTTGGCAAATTCTCGTTATGAAGGACGGGTACCGAAACGAGGCACCGTTTGAAATGGCGTGAATCGGCGCTCGGTCGGTACTATGTAATTCGGTCGGTACCTTAAAAAGTACCGAATTCAGTACCCATCCCTACCTCTGCGACATGGACCTCAAGGCACCTCTGCCCTATGGACCTCAAGGGATAAGCCATCAACCCTGCTCAATGGTCAACTTTCCTGGCGAGGTCACTCATGAGGACAGTGGGAGGGTTAAATCTTGAATGAGAAAGATTTCTTTTGTTTATTCTAGTTTTAATCTAATTTATTTAATTTTGTTCCCAGATCTTTATTTGGATTGGAAATGAAGCCAATGATGTTGAGAAATCTGGAGCACCAAAAATTGGTAAAAAAAAAAAAATTTTAATTAATTAATCAAGCAAAAACAAAATAATAAAAAAAATCAACAAAAATAAACTAAAAAAGGTTTTCTTGTTCTCCTCTTAGCCCAAGACTACGTGAATTCTGACCCCTCTGGTCGCAGTGGTATCCCCATCACCACCATCAAGCAGGGACAGGAGCCACCCTCCTTCACCGGCTGGTTCCATGCATGGGACGCCAACATGTGGGACAAGAGTCACGTTTAGTGGAAGCAAGCCAACACCCAAAAATATTAGGAGAAAAAAAAAACAACTAACTTCCTCTTAGCGGCTCTTTTGAACGCTTTCAAACCTAATTCATAATCTTGATGTTGTGAGCTGATTTTAACTCCTGTACGGGTGTCAGGTATTACAGTCTCACCGTCATTCCCATCAACATCTCACACCCTGTTTTTGTTGCTTTAGCTGAGAAACTTTATGCTTGTTTTCATTGTTTATTTCATGCGTTCATTTAATTACATAATTATTTTTTGACCCATTTCTGTCTAGGCCACACCCTCTTGCATCTTATCAAAACAACCTTTCCAACACCAAAGGGAGGGTTAAAACATCAGCAACTCCTCAGGAGGAATGGAGACGGGTATTCATAAGTAGTTTCAGCTCGTTATTCAACAACAAACAGCTGTACGCATGATTCCGTATTCCAGTCAGAATTGACAAAGCTCATCGGATGAGAAGCGAAATATCTTCAAGAAACCATGGACGTCCAGTGGCCTTCATTCAAACCCCAAACTGAGAACTTTCACCAGCACAAAGAAGAAATAAGTTGTGTAATCTCGAGTAAATTTAGCACCAAAATGAAAGAAGATGGTGATTATTTTATTGTAACAATGCGTCTTGGAAAACACACTGCATGTTGTTTTAAAAGCCTGATTACTGAACCACAATGTCCCAAAATAGCCTCTTTCTGCACACATCAAAGAAATGATAAACCAGTCCCTAATTTTATTACTGTCACAGAGGAAGAATGGACATTTAATTAACCCTTTGATGCATGAATTATGAAATCTTCAACCATGATTTTTTAAACATTTTTTTCATTCATCTTTAGGTGTGAATGAAAGAAATTTCATATTTACATATTTTTTGTAACATTTAATTTACACATAGTTTATTACATGTCCACCTCAGTGGACAGTGTGCATTCTGAATATGAAATATGTTGGCTGGACTTACTGAAGGGACTCAAATGCAATAAAGTCTTCAACAGCCGTGCTTAATAGCAAAAATAAATAAATAAATAACAATTTTGAGTACCTGTCCACTGTAGGGACCATTATGCATCAAAGGGTTAAAGATGTTTCACAGCAAATATTGCAATGCATATTTCTGGCTGTCGTTTGAAAAATAAACTGTTTTTCTTTCATATCTGACTGAAATTTTGAGTTGAAATAAAAATATCACCGTTTTCCAACAACATTTTTTAGGTTTTCAAGTCTTTTCCACATCTTTGTTTCACTGCAACAATAGACAATAGTGTCATTCACCTAAATCCTCATTTACCAAGCTTGATGGTAATCTTCGGGCCATGTGATGGGCTTCTGCTGAGTTGCAGCCCTGCGGATTACAGCTGGGCTTTAAAAGTGCCTCATCAGTTGCATCACGTCTTTTGTTCTCCTTCATTCTGTGCTTCTGGTGGCACCAGACGAACCACTCACAATGAACCAGAAGGTGGTACTCGTTACCGGCTGCTCCTCTGGGATTGGTCTTGCTCTGGCAACCCGCATCGCAAGAGATGAAAAGAAGAGATTTATGGGTAATCTGATTTCATTTCCTATATTACATTTATGCTAAAGAAGAATTCACGTGTGATGAACAGCTTGACAGTCAAGTGAAAAAGAGAATTGGAGGAAAGTGAAAAGGAAAAGGATTAAACTTTCTTTCATGTGCTTGAACATAGTTTTTTATTTTGCTATTTTTGCCAGCAATCATTCATGTTGGGTATAAGGCTACTCTGCATTTTCCCATCAAATTTCCAGTGAATTATATGAATAATGAATATATTTCAACTAAAAGGTTGGAATTCCATCCTTCAGATGAACTAATGTGATTAATGACAATAAAACTATTAAAGGAGTAGCTCACTCATTTAATCAACAGACTGTTTTTGCAGTGTTCTCTAGTCGGAATGAATGCCTTGTGAGTTGTACTCAGGGGAAATAAACGCTGGTGCACCATGGAAATAGAAGTGAGCCACATCACAGCTGAGCTTGCAGGGTTTGGAGTCCTATTTCCTGATATTTGGACATCTCGCCTTGGATTGGATAACGGAAACGCGTCTCTAACACTGACTTTAACGTGGTTGTTTCATCTCCACAAATAACATAATCCTGGAGGAGCTTCTGCTGTGTGGTGAAGTTGCTAATGCGAGCAGTTAGCTTCTAATAGTTGAGATGTTCTTTGCTGATTCCTGCATGCTTAACCAACAACAGCCTTCCCCGTTGCGAGTCAAGATGGGTGAGTCCATGAATGTTAAGTGACAGTGTGACATAGAGCTGAGGATTTTCAAATCCTAGAGTTTCACCACCTATTTTCTATCAGATGCTAACGCAGGACATAAGTGTAGGAGACTATTTTCAAGCTCAGCCTACATGAAATCTCGGAGTAACCGATAAGAAACAGAAATAAGATTAAAAAAAAAAGATTTTTCAGTGTTCCACACCTTTAACAAACTGCTCCAAACAACAACAATCAGTAACTTTCTACCAATAAGCTGAAATAATTGTTTGAGTTTATGAAAGCTAATCAGACCTGAAAGCACAAGGTGTGCACAGAATAACTTCTGGCATTAAATGTGTGGTTTACTTGTTTATTTAATACATTCGCAGTGTTCTGTAGAGTAAACCAATGCCTTAAGAGTAATTTAAAATGAAAGACTCCTGTTCTAAGATGCAGAAGTTTGCTGGTGAAGAGGTGGGCTGAAAACTGCAGGATTACTCAATATTATTAATGATAAGCACACATCACACTTCTGATTGGTTATCAGAACATGTTCAGCCATGTTGCAAAGTCACTATCACCAAAACAATCTCTGCTGTTTCTCCTCGCTGCAAAAATGTTTTCAAAAGCCTTACTGTGCGTGGAAGCAAGCCAAGATGGGCGAGGTCATGAATGCAAATCGACAGTGTGACATAGAAATGTGAGGATTTTCAAATCCTAGCACTTCACTGTCTGTTTTCTATTAGAAACTATTGCAGGAGATAGGTGTAGAAGAATATTTCAGCCTGCATGAAACACTCAGAGTGACCGATTATATTCAGAAATAATAATAAAAAATAAAAAAATTATGTTTTTCAGTCATCCACACCTTTAACCCTTATCTTACGTTCTTTTGAACAAGTAAAACTTTATTTTTTATATATAAAATCTAGCTGCTTTTGTTATGATTGTGTACTTTCAAGATTTCACCCGTGACTCCACATAAACAACGGCACATGTTTTTGCAGAAGCAGACTTCTGGCTGTTGGAAACAAACCATAGGGGCATCTTTAAAGAAACTCATATCAGAGATTTTTGAATTATCCTGAGTGTTTGTGATGATTTGTATGGGAAAAAAGTGGCTACAGCTGAAAGTAACAGCCGTCAGTCGTCAACACTTTACCCATCATCAGCTAAAACAGAGCCGAGTCCAAATTTCTACCGTCTCCCCAAAAACATTGTCTTTGTCCTGGTTTATCTGTTGGTGTGTTTTGTAAGATCAGTAAGAGTAACTTCTGCTTGTTATAGTCTACGCCACCATGAGAAACCTGAGTAAGGCCGAGCCGCTGGTGGAGGCCGCTGGCCGGACTCTGGGAAGAACTTTGGAGATCAAGCAGCTGGACGTGTGCAGCGAGGAATCCATTAAAGCGTGTGTGGACAGCTTACCTGAGCGCAGGGTGGACATTCTCGGTAAGCATGCAACATTTTTGTAAAAGCAGTCTAAAGTAATTTAAGTGATGCGATTTTATCTGGAAACCTGCCATGCGTGAGGTTTTACTCACTAACACGTGTACTCCTACAAACATGAACACAGCTGTTGGTTCTGTCTGGAGTAACCTACTAATGAAAACCGTTGCTTCTGATAATAGCTTAAGAGAACAAATGTAAATGATAAATGGATGAATCTGGTCTCGACAAAAATGATGGAGCTCTTAACTTGATATTTAGCAGCTGAAACTTTTGATCAAATCAAGGGATTCCTGTAACTTTCTGTGAGACTTTTCACCTGTCCACGGGCTCTCTGAAAGGCTCCTTTTCCAGATGTTTCAGCTCCTTCTGTACAGATGTTCAAAGGAATCTTGATCTGGGGTCATAGACGGCCGCTCCGAAACACCTGCATCTGAGACCAAGCTTACTGACACTTGGCACCAGCATGATTTATAGCTTTGAGATTTCTTCAGACGCCGATCAGATTCGCGGCTCTTGTGTCATCAGTCCAGAGGAAGTTCTTCCAGAAGCTCATCAACAAACATTTTAGCAGATTTCTCTCTGAATTTAATTATTTGCTTCAGCCACCTCCTCCTCATCCACCTTCCATTAACTCTACTTTGTCTCAATTAGATGAGAGATAAGATGTTACTGATCCCACAGACATTCTTGCGTTATCACAGCTCAGACAAACACAGCAAAGGAGCACAAAAAGGACCAAGAATGCAAAAATAAGACACTATAAAAAACAGTAGTTCCTATGTAGACCCATACACAGTAGCATTATGGATAGGGGGTTGTGAAACATTGATAGTGTAATAATATTGTAGGGTTTGGTAAATTGAATGCTTTAAGAGCTCAATATATATATATATATATATATATATATATATATATATATATATATATATATATATATATATATATATATATATATATATATATATATATATATATATATATATATATATATATATATATATATATATATATATATATATATATATATATATATATATATATATATATATATATTACCTCTACTTATGACCAATAAGCTGTGGTTATCCAAATATAGAATATCACCCTGCCTGGTCTTTATTGTGCTTTAATCAGAAGATTCTAGGAGTCTTTATTTATTAGGGGATTGTACACACTTTGTTTTGATTAAGAAACAGTCAGGTTTATAAAAGTACAAATTTATTTTACAAATAATTAAAACATGACAAGTTAACTAAGCATTTATTGTGATGGATGGAACTAGATGTGATGTATGCATGGACGTAATTTGGGGGGGGGGGGGCAGGGGGGACATGCCCCCCCCCCCCACTATTTCCAAAGTCAAGTTTTGACCCCAGCACTTTTTACCATCCAAAAACAATATTACGCTATATTAAAATGACACTGGTTGAGCTCTAGCACCAAGTGGAAAACAACCGTTTATGTTGAAGCCTGTTTCCCATTAGAGCATACTGTAAAGATACCCCCCCCCCCCCCCCCCCGGGTCCCCCCCACTTCCAAAGTGAAAATTACGTCCATGGATGTATGGACCCTATGTGTGAATGAGATGTTAATCAGAACATCCGTATCTAGGAGAGTTGAGTTCTGGATGTAAAAGAATTTGGTTTGTGTTAAGCTTATTGAGTTGATTATTATTAAAAACCACATCAGACGCAATCTCACTGTGTTCTACATACCCTTTCGGATCCGAGATGTCAGGTGGGGTCGGACGCCCCCAGGTACCGAAGTCCGTAGATTAACTGCAGTACGACCAGGTCAGTCCAGAGTAATCTCCAGGTGACGACAGTTGGAACTAGTTTGCGTCTCAGGAATAACTCTTAAGGAGTTGAACAAATCAGCTTGTTCTGCAGGAAACTAGTAGTATCAGCTTCGCAGGTGCAAAACAGGTTTTGACGACGTGTCAAAAGCTTTGGCGGTTAAAGAGTTGTTGCTCCAGGTGGTCGGTCTGGAGCTTTCTCTAGAACTCAGGGAAAACCCGAGTAATCTGGTTTTAATGTTCTCATGTTATGATTGTGTAGCCAACCAGAGGTTGACAAGTTTGAGGATTATTACCAAGAATCTCAGAAACACACCTTCTTTTATACCGGAGGCTCTAATCTGGGGTAAAGGCTATTTATGTGTCATGGGCTTAACTTTACCTTACTTGGTTCTTGTGTGAGTGCAAATGTTATGACCTTGTCAAGTAAACATGCTGAAACATATATCATTGAGCACAGACTAATGAAACATTTCATTATTTTATAATTATTATAAGTAGCAATAAACAAATGTTTATTTAATGATTATCTAGCTTGTACATTTTAGAAGTTCATATTTAATTTTAAATCTTCTTTCTTCTGTGAACAAGGAGTCTTAGATAAAAGGGTCCTCTGTGAGGGACCTTGGAAAGAACCGGATGTCGACAAGCAGTGCAGGATCTTGTGGCTTGTTGGCAGATAGAATATAAAATCCTCCTCATAGGATGGAATTAGGTCTGTAGATGACCGATGACCCATAGGTCAATCTGTGGGTGAAAACTGACCATTTGTGGACATTACAACATATAAAAAGTATCAGCTGCTCTTCAACTACTTGTTACCGTCCAAGTGGTAGATATCTTTAATTACAGGCATGAACATGTAGCACACATGTACAAATGCACATATATCAGGTGTATAATGCATGGAGTACTGACCGTAGAGCTAAAGTGGCCGGGTGACTCATGACATCATAATGAGTTATACATCCTAACTGCTGATGGAGTGAATGATCTACAGAAGCGCTCCTTCCTGCAGCGAGGGAGTACCAGTCTCTGACTGAAAGAGCTGCTCAGCGCAACCACCGAGTCGTGCAGAGGGTGAAGTGGGTTGTTCATGATGGACGTCAGCTTAGCTAACATCTTCCTCTCGCCCACCACCACTACAGACTCCAGAAGGCATGCCGCTACAGAACTAGACCTCCGCACCAGTTTGTCAATCCTGCTCCTGTCCCTGTTTGTACATCCACTCCCCCAACAGGCCACTGCATAGAAAAGGGCAGAAGCTAATACCAAATGGTGCGATGAACCACAAGCTTTCCTTTGAATGTCAGTGGAGTCTGTGGTTTGTTGCAGTTTAGCTGTTTTATTAGAGGATTCTGTTGAACCACAGTTGAAAAGCAGTAGGCCTGTGCGATTTTCATTCATTCAAAACGTTTTCAGTTTCACGTCATTTCAGTGACTATTTTTCTATTCTTTTTATCAATGTCTATTCATGTCTAGATAATAAGTCCTTGTTTTTCTGTCCCAGTAAGTAATGCTGGCATGGGCCTGATTGGACCCATTGAGTGTCAGTCTATTGATGAGATGAAAGCTGTCATGGACACCAACTTCTTTGGGATGGTGCGGTTGTTGAAGGAAGTCCTGCCTGACATGAAAAAGAGGAAAAAAGGCCATATTGTTGTCATCAGCAGTGTCATGGGCATACAGGGTGAGGATGTTCGACCCGTTTCTCATCAGAACCTTTGGTTTATGAAACAGGACTCTGAACGTTTCTCTCTCTCTGTTTCAGGGATTTTATTCAATGACGTCTACGCAGCTTCCAAGTTTGCACTGGAAGGATTTTGTGAAAGCTTGGCAGTGCAAGCTCTCAGGTTCCAGCTGAAGTAAGATACTGATTCTGCACCAAGCAGAACATAAGAATTCACCATCTGATCATGACTGTTGCTGAATGATGAAAAGTGGATGATAGGGATGTAAGAAAATATCGATATGGCAATATATTGTGATATTTTCCCAGCAATATTATATCGATATGCAAAAGCCGTGTATCGAAAATATCGATATGGCAATATATCGTGATATTTTTCCTGTGATTATTACATCGATATTCAAAAGCCGTGTACCTAATTCCTGAAAGAATTTACATGCAAACATTTGTGTATTTTCTTTTTGTTTTGCGCAATTTAATCGCCACCCGCTAGTTGGCAGCAGTGTGCAGCGGGTTTTGTTTCCACCACTGAAATGTAAATCCCTCCATCATGGTTCAGATACCTCATGTTAAACATGTTACGTATCAGTTTGGACTGTTTATTGAACATTCTTACGATAAATTCAGTAAAAAAAAATTGCTTGTAACATCTGACTGAATGTATCATAATATATCGTGATATATCGTATCATCTCCCATGTATCGTGATATGTATCGTATCGCCAGAATTTCAAAAATACACATCCCTAACATTTTTGCCTGCGTCTGTGTGCTGCAAAATATCTCATGAACTGTTTTATCGATTATAATGAAATTCTTAGAATTTAATCACTGAATGATCTTCTGTAAACGTTTAAAGTTTGGAGTCAACCCAGATCAACATGGCCACCACAGCTGATCAACATTTGAAAGTATAAAAATGGCTACAACTCTGCCAATTTCTCAGATATTGAGCTAAAATGGCTCATACACATCAAAAACAGTGCAGCTTGCTAGATTTCTTGTGACATGAGAATAACCACATTATTTCTTTACATTAAGATTGGTCCAAAACAGCTGAAACCTTTCGTGGCTTAGGGCCTCGGTATAAAACTCTGATATGAAAGAAGGCAGGAAGTGGTCCAGCCTTCATTCACATCACCGTCACAAATACCTGTGAGCTCAATTTAATCACAGAAACGTCTGTATTACACAGCAGTACCACAACTTTGTTAGGACAAAATCAACATCCTGTTTTGAGGCAAGCTCCAACACATCGCTGGTCTGTAATTCAAGATCTAAGATCGTTTCAGAAGGATTTTGAGCAATGAGTCAAATGTGATCAATGCAAGTGTTTCATGCCAGTAATATGCAGTGTTGGGCAAGTTACTTCAAAACTGTAATGCATTATTTATTACTTCTTACCCTCATTTTAAAGTAATTCATTACATTACAATATTACTGATTTTAAAATGTAAGGCATTACACTACTTTTGCATTACTTTAAGTTACTTTCACCAAAACAACTTCAATATGAATCTGGTAATGTGACACTCAGTGAGCTCATGACATATATGTGGAAAGTGATGTGGTGATTTCCGGCCCTTTCTCTCTCTAACCTTCCTGCATGCTGCATGTTTTCTCCGTCTTCCAGAAAAAACTGTTTCCTAGACTTCCTACTTTCTAACTATCAGCCAAAGGGATCTTCACATGCACGGCGCTCCAGCAGTAATGAGTTGAACTCAGCTGAGGCAAAGCACGTCAGAAAAGCACAAAATAGAGAATATGCGCTGATATGAACGATCGCAAGTGAATTATTTTGTTTTAGTGGAGCGATTTTGTAAATGTTACAGCGGCCGCGTGCAGGACGCAGCTGGAGTTGAGCCGTTACCGCGGCGTCCTCTCTGCCCGCAAAGCTGAGTCCATAAATGACGTAATATATGTAAATACTGGATCTTTCTTCGGGTTTCCCACAATTTGAATTTTTAAGGAACACATCTTGATTCTGGGTTTAAAAATGCATTGTAATTACTGCGTTACTGACAATTGTACCGAGTAAATATTACCATTTTCTTTCCCTGTAATGCCTTACATTACCACATTACAGCAAAAAGCAATGCATTGCAGTAATTAATTACTTTTGTACCGCATTACTCCCAACACTGGTAATATGTGCTGACTTCCAACTTTGCATTCCACGTTTGACCTTCTCTTTGTGCTTCTTGTCTGCTCCAGTCTCACTCTGATAGAGCCCGGTCCGGTGATAACAGAGTTTGAAAGTAAAGTATTTGAAGAGGGCCAGAAGACTGACCTGAGCAAAGCTGACAAAGTGACTGCCGACATGTTCACTAACATCTACCTGAAGAACTACAAACAGATCTTTGAAAGTCTTGGACAGACTGCTGAGGACATAGCCGAGGTATCCTTTAGTTTCACCACAAAACATGACTCAGCTCGTTGTGTTCACGTATCATCAGCTAGCGGCAGAGACAACTGACTGTCTGTGTTCTTCCCAGCACACCTTCAAGATCATCACCATGGAGAATCCTCCTTTCCGCCATCAGACAAACCCTCTTTACACCCCCATGACCACGCTCAAATACGCTGACCCCAACGGTGACCTTCCAATAGAAACATTCTACAAAATGGTGTTCGAACATGACAAGGTCTTCAACGCCAGCCTGAACTTTCTCAAGCTGCTGCGCTGGAGGAGTCGGAAGAGTTTCACCCTGGAAAAAGACAAGAGCAACTGATTTTGTTGTGTTCTTACGTATGTAAACGTGAAATGTATTCAGCTGTGTGTAGTGGTCTACAATGCCTCTTCGGTTGTTTTAGCTGATTTGTGATCAAATAATAAATCATAAATTTAATACCTGAACAATAACAAACTGTTTGAATTGCACCTCTGTCAGCTTGTGTTGCAGGTGTCAGCCATATTTAAAATGCTGCTACAGTACTGAGTCCTCCTACCTCCAAATCCCGTGTTAAGCTGTTAATAACTGCTGACCTTGCATGCTGGGGCAAATCGGTGCACCACTTGATGAGCTTCTGATCATTCTGATACAGTCTGGTGCTTTTATTGTTGTTTATTTTAAGACTAATTGATGACTAATTGACTAATTGACTAACTGATGACTAATTGACTAACTGATGACTAATTGACTAATTGATGACTAATTGACTAATTGAATTGACTAACTAATGATTAAATTAAAAGGATGTTCTTCAAAAAGTTTAAAATTTTAAATGTGTTTTAATAAGTGCTACAGTAGAATGTAATATTAATATATAAATAATGCTACTTTTAAAATCCACGTATAACAATTTACTAAAATAAAACAATGAAATAGTGGAAAATACACACACACGCACACGCATGCACGCACACACACATACTAACACACACATACCCTGGCATAGCAGCATGGACGTAATTTTCACTTTAGAAGTGGGGGGGACATGGGGGGGGGGGGGGGTCTTTACAGTATGTTCTAATGGGAAACAGGCTTCAACACAAACAGTTGTTTTCTGCTTGGTCCTAGAGCTCAACCAGTGTCAATTTAATGTAGCGTAATGTTGTTTTTGGGTGGTAAAAAGTGCAGGGGTCATAACTTGACTTTGGAAATAGTGGGGGGGACATGCCCCCCCCCCCCCCCCCCCCCCCCCAAAAAAATTACGTCCATGCATAGCAGGGCAGAAAAAGTTTTGTTGGGCTGAAAATTAATATTTGATCAAATGCCAACATAACCTTAATGACTCATTGATACTCGTGAACTCGGTGGTTAATGTCTTGAAATGCGTGTTTCTGATGACCAAACAGCTATGGTGCTCTCTAAGAGCACACAGGAGCCAAGGTAGTGATGTGTTGCCGCAGAGGCTGCAAATTTAGTCATTTCAAAACAAAGCTCATCTGTCAAACTAAGCACCACAATCATTCCTGGTACTTGAAATCATCTCATTTAGGTCCATTTGGTGGGATTTAACCAATCCAGGATCCAGGATTGAGGTGGCTCGAGGTTTAGGAGTTTGGCCTGTTATTATTGGTTTGCCAGTTCGAACACCACCTTTATCCGTGTCAGTCATTGTGTACATAAGCAAGACACTTCACCCTCCTAGCCTGCTGGTGGTCGGATGGGCCGGTGGCGCCTGTGTACTGCAGCGTTGCCTCTGTCAGTGTTCCCCAGGGCAGCTGTGGCAACATTCTAACTGCTGAGATGTTTCCTCGGCCTTCATTAAATTCTAGAGGAGCAGTTTATCAATAAGTCAACAATGTCTACAATCAACAATGTAGATCCCTACGACCTCAAAGGAAACACATGGAGCTCAGATGTTTCAGTACTGCCAAAAAATTGGCACTACTTCAACATTTTTGTAATCAAGTAAAAGTAAAAATAGTACAAAAACATTACTCCACCAACAGTAAAAAAAGTATTTAGTATAAACACAACTTGAGTACTGTGTAACATCAGATATGCTGGAATCTTTACAGTAAGTACAAAACATATGTAACATGTAATGGGAAACAGGCTTAAACCCAAGTGGTTGTTTTCCGCTTGGTCCCAGTTCTCAACCAGTGCCTATTTAATGTAGTGTAATGTTGTTTTGGAAGGTAAAATGTGCAGGGGACAAAAATTTACTTTGGAAAGCCCCCCCCCCCCCCCCCCTGCACGCCCCCAAAAAACGACTTCCATGTTCAGGGGTGTGGCCCGCATACTCTGAAGTTGCAAGTGTGGTATTCCAGCCACAAGGGGGAGATTTTTCATTAACCCTGTAAAGCAGGCCTATTCCCTACTGGGCCAGATTTCATCTTTATTATATATTTTACGGACAATGTTTAAATATTACATTTTAATATTTTGACTGATATTACCTCTACCACTAATACAACGGCAAAAAAAGCAATGCACAATGTCTTTTATTGCTTTAATGATCTGTATTAATTTACCAGCTGCAGAGCTGATAATACACACATTTGTTTTATTAACCTCCAATAACTCAGTCGCAGCTACTAAATAAACATTTACAATAACCATAGCTTGACCGTTATTCTTGCAACTTTAGTGCGAGAGGTGGCACTTTTTGTTTTGAACAAGAAATGGAATATTTGGCTCATAGGAGCTGAGTGCAATGCACAGACAGTAGTGCAGAAAGGATTCAGTGAGAGAGGAGCGCAGGTTTGTTTTGATTGCATTCATATGGGAAAAGCTGGATTCACAAATATAGGTGGATCCAAACTTACTGAGAACAGTCACAGCTGCATTCTTGAGGTTTGGGAACTGATGGGCATTGATCTGACTCCAAAACTTAGCGGGGCCAATTGTGCGCAGCTCTTGTGGCATCGTAAGTGATTCAATTCAAGTTTATTTATATAGCGCCAAATGACGACAAGAGTCGTCTCAAGGCACTTCACATAATAAACATTCCAATTCACAGTTCATTAAGCCAATCAGAAATAATGTTTCCTATATAAGGAACCCAGCAAATTGCATCAAGTCACTGATTAGTGTCAGTGACTATACAGCAATCCTCATACTAAGCAAGCATGCAGCGACAGTGGAGAGGAAAACTCCCTTTTAACAGGAAGAAACCTCCAGAGAATCCTGGCTCAGCATAAGCAGCCATCCTCCACGACTCACTGGGGATCGAGAAGACAGAGCACACACACACACACACACACACACACACACACACACACACACACACACACACACACACACACACACACACACACACACACACACACACACACACACACACACACACACACACACACACACACACACATACACACACACACACACTCACACACACACACAAAGACAAGTAATGTGTCTATAGTTATATTGTTATGTCTTAGTAAATATTGTATTTGGTGAAAGATAAACTTTATTGTATTTATCCTAGTGATGACTGCATGTCCACCAACTCCAGCAGGAACTGTCCCTCATCGATAGAAGAGACCACTTTCTCAGCTTTGATGGACAACGTTTCCTCAGCGGTGGCAGCAAATGGATCTTTCGTCAATTGCATCGCCTCTGTAGGAAGTGACAGATCCTCCAGGCGACTGGTGAAGTTGTCCTTCAGTTTCGCGACTAAACCAGTCATTTCTGCCGTGACTTTCGGAGGAGAGGTGGCTTTACGGAGTGTGGGAAAATGTAGCATTCTTTCACCAGTCAAGTCAGTCGCGAACATGTTTAGTTTTGCCTGAAAGGCGCTTGTTTGCTCCACAAGCTGGGCTGGGTCATTGCTGGGTCACAGCTAACATAGACATGAATATGTAGAAGCCACACTATGGCAGCTCCAATAGACAGCACCAGTCCACGGGGCGTCTACGTATATATGTCCCTGATTGCTAAAATGGTGTTGTGTTCAAGTGCAATATCAGTGTAGGAATTTAGAAAGTTGCATGCTTGAACAGTTTTTCAACAGGTTTTTTTTTGTTGGTGGTTGAGGTGGGCCAGCTGGGTAGGGCCACATCCGGCCCACGGGCCTGCCATTTGAGCAGGCCTGCTGTAAAGGTTCATTTGAGCACTTTCTGGCTCAAAAAAGTGATTTAAAATTATGAAAAAGTTGCGTATTGTGTTTCTAAACTTTCCTCAACTCCGAGGAGAGCATCAATGTGCTCCTTGATGCTAACCCACTCAGCAACACCTCACACTTAATGACCAATAAGCCATTTTCTAAACCTTTAATGAGCTTAACCAAGTTAACAGAAGCATCAAGTGATGTAGATTTAGCACCATGCCAACTGACCCACAGAACCCCAGTCCCTACAGGCACAATGAAATGATCTTTAGCTAATGAATCCTGAGTGTTAGAGTCTGCCGAAGGGTAATCTCAAACAACAAAAGCCTAAACTCCCTGACACTATCATTACATAACCTCAGCTAAAGCAGTCCACTCATTACCGTTACAGGTCCAAGCTTCTGCCTATTAAGGCTTTTAACGAGGTATAGTTAGCTAACTGCTTCAGACAATCAACTATAAACTTCTTGGACTCTGCCAGACAAAATAAACTTGACCTCTGAGTGGTTAATCCCATTAATCTACATCAACAGCCATTAAAACTGCTAAGACCAATCAGACCTTTCCTTTAACATACAGGAAATGATTCCTGGCTTATAGGGTGTTTGAGGGGTTATGGTGCTCCGTGTTTCCATTCGCATTTAGAGGCTAACTTTAGGGAAGAACTTGGAGGAAGCAAAGGCAGCTTGTGTTCCCTTTAGTTTTATATGCATCCGGCTGTAGAGTGCAGCAGAAACATGGCAAAGGTGACTTCTAAGAAATAAAACACAAAGACAGGCTTAACGCTGTGGGACACCTGAGATGGATGAGTGGATAAGACATGAGAGGATCAGGATTTACTGTAGAAATCCTGGGCCTGTTTTGGAAAGGCTATATGGAACATAGACAGCTATGGTTGTATGTTATTTTCTCTTGTCATGTTGTTAAAAAATCTAAAAGTTGGGGCTGCAGCAGTCATGAAAAAAGTCCATCAAACCCTGTAGAGTCAAAAGTATCGTTGCTTTAATCTTCACTAAATGAACACTTCAAAGTTTGTTCTTTAAGATCAGCTTTTTAAAAGTGCCTTCATTTTAAAATTACAATATATATCAAGGTTGATTTTGGTGACTCAGGGGTTAAGAGGATGAGGTTAAGGTTACGAGTTCAAACCGAGGTTCCCCCAATCATGCCAGGTATTGCGTCCTTGGACAAGACACTTCACCCACCTTACCTGCTGGTGGGGGTCAGAGGGGCCAGTGACACCAGTGCTATGCAGCCTCGCCTCTGTCAGTGTGCTCCAGGGCAGCCGTACATTCTAGCTCATCACCATCATTGTTTGAATGTGCGTCTGAATGGATGAAGGATTCAGTGTAGTGTAAAGTGGTTTGGAGTCCTCTGATTGTAAGGATCTACACAAGTGCAGGTCATTTATTAGTTATCGTGACTAGTTTCTGGTATTAACGTTACAGTGCTGGCGTGATTCATTTAAAGCTTGAGTTTTTGAACATATTTAAATGTTATAATGAGAAATAAAAGGCTCATATTATCTAGTGTAAATCTTCGGCATCTTCAGAAAAGCTGACTTTGAAGTTTGATGTAAAGTCACAAAACCTCCACGCGAGGGCGACCGTTGGCCAGCTGACGCTGAAAGCAACCATCAGGCTGTTATAAAGATTTTTATTGTTCGGCTTTTGTCATCACTAAACGAACACCTTAAAATTCTTACATTTCTGCTTCAGGCTGGATTAACATTAGTCAGTCCCTTAAAAAAGAGATGCACACTGGCTATTTCAACATATCATGGTAAGAAATTTGAGGGTTCCCCCTAAATGAAATCACATGTACTTATATTTTTATATTTGTCCAATTTTTAAATACCAGAAGACATGGCAGTTGTGTTTTTTACAGCTATAATTGTTCTCGAACAAAAAAAGAATACGTTTATTTGCATTTGTCAGTCGAGAATGTTTATTTATGAAAGGTAGCAAACAATGTGACTTTCAATATTTTAACGATTTGTACAATGTTTTTTGATTAATTTTTTAAATCTGTGACGGCCTTCTTTTTGGTAACGCTTTATGGAGTGTTTAGAAAAGCTTACTCCAGCTGTGAATGTACAACTGAGCACAGTTCAAAAATAACAGCACGCGTTGTCTTCAAAGATTCCGCTAGATGGCAGTATTTCCTGATGGGTTTCATTTCAGACTCCGACTACCAAGCCATGTTTCCGGTTTATTCGTCACGCGCATCCGTGACACATTTAGGCTAATGTTGCTAAGAATAAATGCTATCCTAAAATCCCTTACTGTAAGTTTTCCGTTTGTGTAATTTGTTTGGTTCATTTGGCAATGTAAGATAAAAATAATCGGTGGTGTTAAAGCACTTCATAAAGCTAGTCTTTGTGTGAGCAGCGGTACATACATTAGAGAGCTCTTTATTGTTAGCCTAATTGTAGCCTCAGCTTTCACTTCTGTTCTGCGGGGCTAGAAAACAGCAGCCGCTTTACTAGCCTGGTTGCTAATTAGACATACATCTTATTAATATACTAGGGTTTTGTGAAGTGTTTTTGTTCAGCGTGTGTGGAAGATATCCGTGACACTTGCTTTCATTTCTAATTCCTTAAAAGTCACATCGTCAGGCGGCTCATTGTTTGCTATAACACACAAGTAGCCGTTAGCCAACCGGCTAACTTTTGAGGAAGCGTCTCATCTCTTCATGACATTAACTTTGTGTTGACGTCTGCTCAACCCGATCATTTTATTATTTGTACTCCGAAGACTCAAGAAGATAGACATTTGTTAATTCTGGTAACTTCCACACACTAAAGAAGCGGAGCTCCGTTTTTTTATTTTTATTTTAATACTAGTTGGAAGTTATTTTTGTGCCACGATGGCTTCCTCATCTGGGAACGACGACGACCTCACCATCCCCAGAGCAGCCATCAACAAAATGATTAAGGAAACTCTCCCTAACGTTCGAGTGGCCAACGACGCCAGGGAGCTCGTCGTTAACTGTTGCACGGAGTTCATCCACCTCATTTCCTCGGAAGCCAACGAAATATGCAACAAATCCGACAAAAAGACCATATCTCCTGAGCATGTCATCAACGGTGAGTCAGTCCCGACCCAGACCAGGAAGAGTATCATCCTCCCTGGTTCTAACCGCTGAAACTAACTGATTGCACTTTCACCTCCTGTTTTCGCACCGCAGCCCTCGAGAGCCTCGGTTTCGCGTCTTACATCACGGAGGTCAAAGACGTCCTGCAGGAGTGTAAAACTGTAGCTCTGAAGAGGAGGAAGGCCAGTTCTCGACTGGAGAATTTGGGTATCCCGGAAGAGGAGCTCCTCAGACAACAACAGGAACTGTTTGCAAAGGTGAAACGTCCTCATGCGTGAAGCTTGTGCTTTTTGAATGAGCATTCTTGTTTTCCCTTTTGCCAATCAATAATCGTTGGCCTGGGATGAGCTCTGAGTGTTTATTTAGTACTTTAAACTTATCTGTATAGCTGAGAATAAACAAAACAACAAAGTTATATTCATTTTTATTAATAACACATCGTAACATTTAAGAAACGTCCTGGTGAACATCGCAAATGAACAAAAAAGTGCAAAGTTACAAAAATACTGTTATTATTAGAGTGAAGCAGATGATTTAGTTCATTGCTGATGTTATTCACGTTTAGCCTTTTTAAAGATTAAAAGTCATTGTGCTGCCTTCTAGGGTTGTCACGATACTAAAATTTCAAACTCGATTCCATACTTGAAAAAAAAACTCGATACTCGATTTCGATACTATTTAACCCTTCCACTGTCCCAATGGGTGTGACCCCGCGGGGAAAGTTGACCATTGAGCAGGATTGATGGTTTATCCCTTGGGTCCATGTGGCATGGGTGAGGAGTGAGCACCACCTCACCCATGCCATGTGGACCTCAAGGGATAAACCATCAATTCTGCTCAAAGGTCAACTTTCCTTGCAGGGTCACCCATAAAGACAGTGGAAGGGTTAAAAACACCAATTTATCGAACAAGTTTATTAAAAAAATAACATTCCTCAATTTATATTGCAAAAATTAAATGTTAAGAATTAAGTGTATAAAGTGCTTAAACCTTTCAAGTATCAGCATTTTTTTAAACGTGCATACAAAAACAGGCGAAAGTTAACACTTTAAATCATGAATTGTCTCACTATATATACACTATTTGCAGAGTGATGTTTTGCTGCTTAAACTCTGTTTAAGGTGCATTTTTGTCATAAGATGTAATGCCATATGTTTTGTTTTGTACTTTTGAACAACTCTGTTGGTCAATAAAGGGAGAAAACAAATTTCTCCACAGTAGGACAAAGGTACATCTACCGGTAATCTTAATAAAAACAGATCGGCGCACGGCAGTGACGTCATTAAAAGCGCCGGTTAGATTAGCCGCGGCTAGTCTGTTCACGCCTAGAAATCCCAGAATCGTTCCAAACGAACAGGGGAATCATGTTAATGATTCCTAACAAAACCTTTCGACATGAAGATGTTTTGGTGCAGATAATGTCTTATTTCGAGGCTGCACCATGGGTGCCCGTCCGCACCCGTTATATGGATATACGCTGACGGCGATTCGCCGATGGATCTACGGTAAATACCCCGGGGAATCCAAGTAGCACCAAAGTTGTCAGCATGAGTAAACAAACGTACTGCATGCTAGAAATGAAGTCCGGGTTGCAATAAACGGGAGTTTCCTTTAAGCACATAAGCGTGAATATACAACTACGTGTCGGACTTGGTATGCTAATTAAGTTGGGCTGTGAAGCGCCTCCCAAATTCGCTGTTTTTGTTTATTTTTTTTGGCAGACAAAACTTGGATCGGAGACAACTCGCGTGGGAAATTGCAATGTAGCCATGCGGCGTCTTCTTCTTCTGTTTGTCTGGGAGGCGGAGGTTGCTTTACGGCATCTGGCCGTCGTGCATGTCGGTGTACTTGAAGAAGGCTGTGTATAATAGTCCATAATATCGATACCACAGGGATGGAATATCTAATTTAGATACCACTTTTAGCATCGATTTATATCTGGGTATTGATTTTTTTGACAACTCTACTGCCTTCTCCAGGTCAGGGATGAGGTCCTGCCCCAAGTGGAGGAGTTTGAGTATCTTGGGGTCTTGTTCACAAGTGAGGGAAAGATGGAGCGAGATCGACAGGTGGATTGGTGCTGCATCCGCAGTGATGCGGGCGCTATACCAGTCTGTTGTGGTGAAGATAGAGCTGAGCTGGAAGGCAAAGCTCTCAGTTTACCAATTGATCTATGTTCCTACCCTCACCTATGGTCACGAGCTTTGGTTAGTGACCAAAAGAATGAGATCGCGAATACAAGCAGCCAAAATGAGTTTTCTCCGCAGAGTGGCTGGACTGTCCCTTAGAGATCGGGTGAGAAACTCGGTCATTCGGGAGGGGCTCGGCGTAGATCCTCTGCTCATCCACGTTGAGAGAAGCAGTTGAGTTGGTTCGGGTATCTGGTTAGGGTGCCTCCTGGCCGCCTCCCTGGTCAGGTTTTCCAGGCACATCCAACTGGGAGGAGACCCAAAAGAAGACCCAGGACACGCTGGAGGGACTATGTCTCTCAGCTGGCCAGGGAACGCCTTGGGATTCCCCTGGAGGAGCTGGGGAGAAGGAAGTCTGGGCCTCTCTGCTTAGGCTGCTGCCCCCGCAACCCGAATCCAGATAAGCGGCTGAAATTGGATGGATAGATGGAAAATTATTGCTGTTCCTGATTTGTTTTTCTGTATAAAGAAAAAAAAATCCTAACTAAAAGCTGAAATATAGGCCTGCACGATATTGATCAATATTGCTGTTTCACTGCGCCTAATATTATCTCAAAGGATTTTAATAAGTTGCTGACACTAACTTTTGACTATCAGAGGTTTCCACTCCCATAATGGCCCTCGATCAGCACACCATGTTCTGTAACCCCCAAATTCCACTACCTCCGCTCCGGTCCGCCCCCGCCTTTCGCAGCCGCTCGCTTCCGAACTCAATTTTTACTGGTACCCGCTCTACAACGGCTCCGCTCCGGTGCGGAGACCTGAGGTGGGCAAACAAGCATGCGCGGGATTTTCGAGATCTTGCGATACAGTCCGAGCAATAAACGCGGAAGTTCGATCCAAACACCCGTTGTGTGGGAGAAGCATCGGCATGAACTGTTTAATCTGCCCATCATTTGTGTTGAGGGATCAGCAGTGTTTGGATCAACAACGTGTGACTACTTTGATAGTAGAAACTGTATTTATGGCTTATTTTTGTGCATTTAAAGTTCAGCCGCCATTGATAGTTGTTAAAAGTTGTTAAACCTGTGCATATGAAACAAAAAACGCCTTTTGTTTATCGATTTATTGTGAAAAACGGAAGTTGTGCTTGCTCCTTTTCCTGTTGGGCGGTTGTGATTTCTGTCCATTTACTGTGGAGGTGCTCCGGCGTCCGGCGAAAATAGGATCGATCCTATTTTTGCCGGACGCCGGAACAGGGAGCACGGCCGCAGTAGTGGAATTGCTCTGATTGACTACAACGGGACCGATTTTGCTGCGGAGTTCGTGCCGGAGCGGAGCGGAGGTAGTGGAATTTGGGGGTAAGAATCTTTATGAATGAACATGGAGTTTCTGTTGCTGCTTTTCATTCATTTATTTTTACTAAATCTGACCAGTAACTAAACTTAAAAATTCTGCAAATTTACACCTTTACCTAAGCTTTGCTTAAAAGTAAACACTGAAATGTGGTTTCATTTTAGTTATAAAATGTTCTAACTGATCATTATGTTCTGTAAAACATCTCTTTGATGGCTTTACGTATGCACAGTCCTCAGGAAAACTAAAAAAGCTCTTCTTGCTTCTCTCTGGTTCTGTGGGCCGCGTGGCTGCAGGCCCGGCAACAACAGGCAGAACTCGCCCAGCAGGAGTGGTTGCAGGTGCAGCAGGCTGCCCAGCAGGCACAGATGGCGGCCGCATCTGCCAGTGCAGCCCAGCAGGCTGGTTCCTCTCAGGATGAAGATGAGGAGGATGACCTGTGAACTCCGGATGTGGGTACATGTTCGGACTTTGTCCTGGGACACTGCTGGCACACGTATCTTCCAGCGTTCTCGTTGGCGGAGACGTCTTTGAGCGCTGAAAATAAGCACATTTGAAGAGAACAGTGAAAGCGGAATGGGCCCCATCCAGATCCTAGTTCCTGGAAACGATTTGGATTGAATGGCTGAGTTTTGTGTTAACCTTATGTTCCCCATATAAGTTACTTATGTGAAATGAGCTCTTTGATGTTCTGTTGTGATTGGATTTGTAGTTGTGAACACACTGAGAGCAGATACTGGGACGCGTCAGCGACTCAAGCGTCAAGTCTCTGCTCCTTCAGGTACATCACAGACGCCCAGTCCTCAGTCGGTGGTTTAGATGAACTCGTTTCTCTTTATTTGATTATTGGTGGTCACTTTTACAGGAAAGATTTTGTTTTCTCCCTTAGCATTTTTGTTCAGACAGTGAATTTGTTTGAGGCATTGTGAATATTGAATTTGTTTCGTTATGTAGAGAAATAAATAGACCTTTTTTTTTTATTTTAGCTTGTTCTGATATTTGTCATTTTGTTCTTCCTTAGAACCGCCCACAGTATTGGTAATTAGCTGCAAAGTTGAGCAAATTAAACTTTTATCTCATAGAACCAAAGATGGAGGACAGACTTACGCTCAGACTTTGTTTTTAAAAGTGTAGGTGCTACCGTGATACTTACTGCTGACTCCAGATCAGTGTAAATGATGTGAGGAACCTTGTGAGATGCTTTTGTGTTCAGGCTGAAATGATTTCCATTTTCCTCTGGAGCAGTATCTAAATATCTTTATTGTGACTTTGGTCAGCCCTCAGCGTTAAAAAAAAAAAACAAGTTGTGAAACAGTCATTTGTTATTCTACAAAGTTGTATTCTTTAAGCAATAAAGAAGTGTTTTTATAGGTCAGTGTTCCATGTTTGCTTTAAATACTCTTAATAAATACTTTATTGTTTACATAGCTGAATGTGCTAACAGCACAATCACACAAAAATGATCAATGGAAATCAAATTTATCAACCCAAGAAGGTCACACTCAAAAGTAAAGTTGATACACACTACAGGCAAATCCACCTTTGATATAATGTAAATGCCCTGTATTTGATATAGTGCCTTCTAGAATAGTGATGGGAATTACAGCTCTTTTTAGAGAGCCGGTTCTTTTGGCTCAGCTCACCAAAAAGAGCCGGCTCTTTCGGCTCCCAAGTGGCTCCTCAGATTTTCTGTTGCGTAGAGTACATTTATAACCAAAATAATGCTAAACTATATGTAAAATAATTTACTAATGTAAAAAAAGCAATATATCAATTGTTTATAATTTCTATGGATTTAATAACTGAACACTTTAAGAAATCTCCACTTTCCGACTGCTGGCGCTCATTTTCTCACCGTCTTCGTCGCACTCTCCTCTCTCTCGCTCGCCTTTTCCCTCCTCCTCATTCCCTCTCGTCTACCTCCACCCGCATGTGCTCTGCTGTGTGTCTGAGTCTGATCCTCCCTCTTCCCCACCCCTACTGCTCTGTGTGTGGACGGTCTGGACACACAGTTCCACATGTTGACCAATCGCCTGTAGCTTTCACCAAGGCAGGGGGCGAGGGGGTAGGGGACGAGCCGGCTCCCGTCGTTCACTTCAAAGAGCCGGTTCATTCGCGACCGACACATCACTATTCTGGAGCCCCCCTAGGTGCTTTACGACACAATCAGTCATTCACACATTCAAACGCAGGTGGGGATTACCTACGATGTAGCCACAGCTGCCCTGGGGCACACTGACTGAGGCGAGGCTGCCAAGCACAGGCGCCACCGGTCCCTCTGACCACCACCAGCAGGCAAGGGGGGTCAAGTGTCTTGCCCAAGGACACAACAGTGACAGACTGAGGGGGCTCGATCCTGCAACCTTCCAATTACAGGGCGAGTACTTAACTCCTGATCTACCGTCACCCAATGTCCTTCAAACCAGTCAGAATGAGGCTTGGTAGTGTGTCTGGCCTCCATGCGTCTGTATGACCTCCCTACATCACCTGGGTATGCTCCTGAGGTGGTGGATGGTCTCCTGAGTGATCTCCTAGTTCTGAACTAAAACATCCGCCAAATCCTGGACAATCTGGTGCAACGTGGCATACGTGGCTGTAGCAAGACATGCTGTCCCACATGCGCTCAGTTGCATTCAGGTCTGGGTAATGGACAGGCCAGTCCATGGCATCAACAACTAGGTTTCCATTACCAGAACTTCAGGGTAGATTTACAGGAACCTCCTGACATGCACGTGTCTCCACTTGACCAGGCCGTTTTCAGGAACCTTCTGAGTAACTGATCAGGGGTAAGTACTCCGAACGGCCTGGTGGAGCAGCTGAGCGAAACCTCTGGTTACCTCATACTGATTGGTTGAAACCCAGTTGGAAATGACATCAGCAGGCTGGTAAAATTAGGAGAGTTGCTGGTGAAGCAGAATGGAAGCATAGGAAAATAAGCGTCGATCGTGCTTAAAATCTAACTCCTGACACCATAAAACATGGTGGAATTCCCCCCGCAATTAACGAGGCTTTGTTGTCTCACAGAGCGCTGTAAAATATGACACTTCTTCCGGTCATTGAACACCACATTTTACATCACACAGCTGCTCTTATCCTCAGAGTGGATGCATTTTTTATATACTTCAATAGAATAAAGGCTTGTAATGTTATTGTTACTGCAGACGCTTTTTGGCGACATTGCTCACTGCCAAAGCAGTCGTGATATGCTGACGTCTGTGCAAAGTTTTGAAAGGGCTGAATTTGAAAGTAGACAACAGCTGTGTGTACTGGGACATCCTATCGCCTGGTCAGTTTCCCCATCTCAGGAATTACCCTTGAGTTTTGGTAATGGAAACACAGCTTTTGTCTTGCATTAGGAGGAACCCAGGGCCAACCGCACCAGCATATGGTCTCACGAGGGGTCTGAGGATCTCACCTCAATACCAAATGGCAGTCAGGCTACCTCTGGCGAGCACATGAAGGGCTGTGTAGCCTCCAAAGAAATGTCACCTCACACTACTGACCCACTCTCAAACTGGATATGCTGCAGGATGTTGCTGGCAGCAGAATGTTTGCCACCGTGTCTCCAGACTCTGCCACATGCTCAGTGTGAACCTTTCCGAAGATCAAAGGGTGTCAGCAGGGGCGGATTTAGGACTGAAGAAGATCCGGGGCTTTTAACACACACACGCGCGTGCGCACACACACGTGACACGCACTAGTCAACGTCATATATATATGTCTTGTACCACATAATTATTCATCTGAAGCTACACATTAAGCATATTCAGGGCAGAGTATTGTTCCTGTTAGTGTTTAGTGTGAGATGATAGTAAATATTGCCTTTCTTTCTCCAACAACTTTACCTGATAGTAAGCTAACTTTAGGCAAACCAGCAGCACAACAAATATTTTCAAATAAGACCCACAAACCTGAGTCAGCACCAGTCTCATCAAAGCTGGGGTTCTGTCGTTGTTCTTTTGGTCTAAAAAACGTCCTTATGTCCATCTTCACTCATGCGTTTCAGGCAGAGTGTAGAAGAAGCCGGCTGCTGAAGGGCTTCTTCTTCAGTGGTGGAGGCTCAGGCAGGCTGTATACAAACTACTGCCAGCTGCTCCCTCTCTGTTGGACTTTGGTACTGCATGTTACTTCCGCTATTTAGATCCGGGGCTTTTAATGAAATATCCGGGGCTTCAGCCCAAGTAGCCGGGCCTAACGCCGCCCCTGGGTGTCAGTGGCAAATTTTCCAATCTTGGTGTTGTCTGGCAAATGTCAAATGTCTTGCTCAGAGTTAGGCTGTAAGCATGGACATAATTTTCACTTTAGAAATGGGAGGAACACGAGGCGGGGGGGGGGGTATCTTTACAGAATGCTCTAATGGGAAACAGGCTTCAACACAAGCGGTTGTTTTCTGCTTGGTCCTAGAGCTCAACCAGTGTCAATTTAATATAGCGAAATATTGTTTTTGGATGGTAAAAAGTGCAGGGGTCAAAACTTGACTTTGGAAAAAGTGAGGGGGACATGTCCCCCCTATCTCCCCCCCCAAATTACGCCCATGGCTGTAAGCAATACCACCACCTATGGATATGGGGCCCTCATACCACCCTCATGGAGTCTGTTTTTGACCATTTTAGCAGGTATGCACATTTGTGACCTGCTGGAAGTCATTTTGCATGGCTCTGGCAGTGTTCCTCCTGTTCCTTCCTGCACTAAGGCCGAGGTAGTGATCCTGCTGCTGGGTTGTTGCCCTCCTAATGTACTGACCTGTCTCCTGGCAGTGCCTCCATGCTCTGGACATTACGCTGAAACACACAGCAAACCTTGCCACAGGTCGCATTGATGTGTCGACCTGAATTTGTTGCACTACCTAAGCCACGAGTGTGGGTTGCTCTGCCTCATGCTTCTTCTAGAGTGAAAGTTCAATAGCAACCAAAACATCAACCACAAAGCATAGGAACTGACAAGTGGTTTATGGTCACCACCTGCAGAATCACACCTATATTGGAGATCTCTTAATTGCCTATGATTTCCACCTGTTGTTTGTTCCGTTTGCACAACATCGCATGAAACTGATTGCAAATCAGTGTTGCTTCTGTGGCAAGGTAGTGAAGCGAGGACCCGGGCGGGATTCGATCCCCAGACTCCCGGGTGAGAGTCACGTACGCTAACCAGTCAGCCAAAGGGACATCCCCTTGACCAAATAGCCAGGGCGCATGATCAGTCGGGACACTGTGACAGGACGCTCACACTGCCACACTTCCTAAGTGGACAGTTTGATTTCCCATAAGTGTGATTGACTTGGAGTTACATTGTGTTGTTCAAGAGAACACATCAGTTTCCATCATGCCCCTTCACAATAAAACAGGTTGCAAAACACAGAATACACCACAGTTCCCTTAATTTTTTTTGAGCAGTGTATATTCACATACGTGGGACGGCTTGCCAGGCCATCTTGTTAAGACTTCATCAGTCCACCACCAGATGGTGCTGTGGTTCGCAGTCCAGCCTATCAGCTGAGCAGCAGCTGACTTTACCTCCACACACACACATACACACACCATGTTCAGTGAACGCCTCGTGTTCGACGAGCATCGCTCTCTAGAGATTATTTATTGGCAGCTTTTTCTAAATGCAAGAGCTGAGTTGGATCAGAGAGGGCAGGTGAGCAGAGAATTCACCAAGATTGTTTCTTCAGCATTGAGAAGGCCTCCTGGTAGACATGATAAAAACATTATTGCCTCATAGAGCTGTTTTTAACGGTGTAACTAACATTTTGGTAATTTATGGGGCACCGACTGAAAAGTAATACGTTTAGAAACGATTAAACAGCTGCATTTCCTCACGTTTGGCTAGAATATCTAGAACAAACCATATATAAATATTTAAACATAAAAATGTGATTTTTAAAAAATATGTAAAGTTAAATACGTTAATACAGTTCACTGTTCTGATGAACCCTGACAGGAACTTTCATGTTGGATATATTAATGCATAGACCATGGACGTAATTTTTTTTGGGGGGGGGGGGGGGGGGGGGGGGGGACATATCTCCCCCACACCCTTTCCAAAGTCAAGTTTTGACCCCTGCACTTTTTACCATCCAAAAACAATATTACACTATATTAAATTGACACTGATTGAGCTCTAGGACCAAGCGGAAAACAACCTTTTGTGTTGAAGCCTGTTTCCCCTTAGAGCAGGAGCGGGGAACCCTGGTCCTTGAGGACCGGGATCCTGCATGTCTTTGCTCCAACACTTCTGAAGCCCTGTCCACACGTAGCCGGGGATCTGCCAAAACGTAGATATTTTTCTACGTGTTGGCCTGTCATCCACACGAAAACGGAGTTTTTTCACACGAAAACGGATCTTTTTAAAAACTCCGGCCAAAGTG